AGTCCCAATTGTTTAGGAACGAGAAAAAACAAGACATTTGCACATTCTTATTACTCACGTAAGTAGCTTTTGAAACTGGAAATGTAAAAATTGGGCACTTCAAACATGAAGACAATCTTATATACAAAGCTGAATGTCTGTTTGTAGGTCTGTGGATTGTTTGTATGTACACGTGTTTAAACCCATCCGGTCCACACTTCACACACATACACTTCGGGTCGGGGCGTGTGTCGCAGGCTACTTTTCTTTACCGATTTGTATCGATTCTATCGATTATTGCACAATGTAGCTGCGGGACTGGGAGTAGCACAGAGGGTATATTGAGGGTGGCGATTACGAATACAGTGTTAGTCTTGGAATCATCCATTACTTTTATCGATTTTATCGATTTTCGCTAAGTTTGACCTACGGGCTGCGAGTTGGTACAGATGGATAAGTGAGCATGCTGATTACGAAAACAACATCAGCTTCATCAATTTTATCGATTTTCCGCAAAGTTTGAGCTATAAGCAGGATTGAGCAAAAGGTCAGGCACAAGTCCTTCAAAAACAATCCCCCTCCCTGTGAAAGCCCCTAAACAACCCTCCGCTTCACCTCCAAGTCCTCAGAATGTTATATTTTGAAGAAAGACCAGCCTTCACTGCAGGTTTATATTTTTTGAAAGTCTGTAGGCCCGACTTCCTGCGCTTGCACAACCACACGCAACTTGACGGCAAGTTTTTGATCTGGATACTCCTCTTTTCAGAGCTGTAATTTTCACAGGGATTGAATGTTTGGCTCCAAATTTTTAATATAGCAAGAAGAAGCTTTGCGCTCAATAATCATATCAAAAAAGGGGCGATTTTTGAATTTTGAAGGCAAGTTAAGAGGGTCAGGCGCAACCCCTCAAAAGCTCAGGCGGCCTGATCTTTTGAGGGGTTGCGCCTGACCCCATTAACTTTATTTCCGAAAAAGCTTTTCTACCCAAGTTTTACGCGATTCGTTAGCTCAACCCCCAAAGATTCCACAGTAAGTGTTTGAGCTTGATTCGACTTGTTTCGGCCTTGTGCTAATCCGAGGAGTTGAAGCACTCAACGTGAAAAACGCGCAGGTTGGAATTTTGGCAGCACTTCTTACTTGACTATTTGAGAGCGATATGAAGCCCTATTTGTAGCATAGACTTGCAGAGAACATTACTTTGTTATGAGTATACAAAAGCTGACTTTTCTCACTTCTGAAACCAAGTTGATCACGTTTGAAAATCACGCTTTTTAGACGTTGAAAACACTAGAAAGTGCAGTAGGTAATGGCTTGTAGAGCGCATAGAGGTAATTTGACTAATTAATTATGGAAGTGATACCCATTTCACACAGCAAGCTTCCTTGTCGATCTCATATTTGAAGGTAAAGGAGAAGAAGATTTAAATTTTGGCTGAAACTTCCATTGTGGGAACAATCAGTATGCTGTTCATGACCGTCATTCCTTCATGTGATCGCGATGTCCACCTGACTAACGCTTTTTCTTCACCTTCGCAGTATCTTCCCCAACTTAACAAATTCGATTCTTAATTACGACCCCCCCCCCCCTCAGTCTTACCCTCAATACGATCCCTCAGGTCGGGCGCGCCTGACCCCACGCTCAACCCTGGCTAGCTGGGAGTTGGCACTTAGGGGGGGGGGGGGTGGGGAGTGGGCACGCTGATTTCGAAAACAAAACAGGGATAGAGAACTGACATGTGGAAATGGGCACAGGAAGAGTTGTATAGGGATGTAGCCTTTATCATATCATATCATATCATAGCGTCTTGTTTTCGAATCCTACGTAAGGAGGTTGATCTCAGAGCCAGCAGCTTCTGGGTCTTCAGGCCAACTAGCAGTAGGCTCGGAGGGTTCAACCTTCATTATCCTAGGTTGAATAAGAGGTTCTATTCTGGGCTTTTCAATTCACTGTTTTACAGATGCGCACGTTGGTTTAATCGCTTGCCTCCTGAATTATTGTCGGCTAGAATGGGTCTGCTTTTAAAAGTAGTTTACAAAAGATCAATGTTTCTGATGCCTTGAATTCTGGTCCTTACCTCTGTTGATGATTTCTTTTTGTGATTTGTTTTAGGTCGTTAGTGCAGTGATAGTCAGCTTAGCTCTTATGTGCTGCAAGTTGTTATTTGGTTTTTCCTTTTTAGTTTTTATATTGTTTGGTTGATGATTTTTCTTTCAGGTTTCTGGTTCTTCTCTGGGCGTTTTACTTCAATTTTTTTCTGTCAATTCAAAAGATATGTCTCGTGCTTTCTATGCTTTTATGATTCACTATCCATCTGTCTCATTATATACCCAACCCACCCTCACTACTGCTAGTAATTGCTCTTATATCTAGCTTGTGCCCTTGTTCATTATCTTATATTTCCACCACAGGTGAGCCTAGCAGCTGATTGTTAGGGCGGAGGATACCTAACTTCCGAAAATCAGCTGTTAGTCTATTCATTTTTACCCGAATGAATAGTGGCATTCCCCACTGTCACTCGCCTGCTAAGGGTTACACAAGGGACCGGGCGCAGAATATGAGCTGGGACTCAATTTCTTTCCACTTAATTGACATCTGTAGCAGTATATTGTGGGTTAGGGTGAACTAATAAGTGCGCGTTGGATTGGTCTAACATGTTTCGTTTGTAATGTGATTGTTTTTTTTTGGCACACCTTCGAGTGTATGAATAAATAAATAAATAAATAAATAGCGTTTAGGCAGGACCGGGCGGAGCCGGGTGTGCGCTGTAAGTGTATAAGTTTCGTTCGCCTCAAGCTCGGTCAATCCAGGCGCATCGCTGCGCAAGCGCATCCTGGCCCGTCATCAAATGCAAATGGCAACGCAAAGCAGTAAGCAAAAGCCAGTCCAGCCAGACTTTATGGGCAGCCTCTTCACCTGCAAATTTTTTCCCCAAAACTAGAGGGTGTATGTACCACAGTTACGATCTTACAACCCTGTAAATTTTCGGGGAAAGCCTTTCAACCTATTCTCACTTTACAGGGTCAGTGCGCTTTGCACTCTCTAATTTTGGCATAAGAACGTTCACCACATAGAGCGGCGAGCACTATCTTCCGCATCCAATTTCAGTCTATCTGCGCAGAAAATCGAAGTCATTGAATCGATATGATTAGAAAGAATCTCTGGAAAAATCGTAAGCAGTGAGTTTCGCCTACTTGCGGATTGTCGAGCTCACAAAATACTCAACCAGTAACCAAAAAAATCTCATGGGCTTTGATAGGCTTAACTCATGGGTTCGCTATTAATGCGCTTGCATCGACATTTCTTTTTCTACAAACTTTCGATGTTTATAACCAACAAATCGCAAAGAAACACTGTCTTTTAAAGCATCTGTTTTTCACCAAAGTTCCTCGTTATGTGAATAGGGTTTGGCTCATGGCCCATACTTTTTTGGCACCCATGAACACTCGTGCGTGTACGAATTGTGTAAAAAAAGTATGCAGAATCTGTTTTTCTAGCCTTTTATAGTACTGGTTTGGTTTAAAAGTTCGTGCCCTTCTTCAGGCCCGTGCTCAATTCTCAGAATAACGATAGCCAAACGCTTCAGTGTTCGATGCAAAATCTCTTTCTCTTTTTAGCAGTGATGTTCCTTTTTCTAGGTTCCTTCGATCTAGTTCAAATAATAGTCAGAATCTCCAACCCATGATTTTTATCTACCCTAATTTTAGATATGTTTAACATTTTCATTTCAGATTTTTGTAAAATTTGGTTAGAGTTATACAGTAAACAAAGCGCAACGCAGTTGATCCTCGTAGTTTTCAAGAATTTCTTACAAAATTTTCGCTTTTATGAAGTCGTGAATTATCCAAACGCTCAAAACAGTAAAAAATTCTCGGAATTTGAAGCTTTAATAGACTGTGTGTGAATACCAATTTTCCTAAGTAACCGAGCATTTAGTGGTTCGTACCATATTCCGGTATCCGAGTACAGCCTAGAACGCGTTTGACAAAATTGTGTTGATTTTATCCTCGCAGTCTATACAAGGAAGAAAGGAAGGCTTTCAGAAAGAGGACGAGAAGCTGCATCGAATGACATTTTAATTGCTTGCCGTTTCGTTCTTTGAGGATTGGGATGTCCAAGTATGGAATTTGATAGCATCGAAAAAACTTTAAGAATCTCGGAAAGCCAGCTACAGATTCCAAGGAATGCGTTGTACTGCACTTTGTTCATATTCACCTCTTGAAGTTATGCCAGAAATTGCATTTTATTCCATTTTGTTAACTCTATCTAACAGTGTTTGAAGCTCCTTCAAAAAAGGGGAAAACGGTGGGATTGAGGTTCTGACGATTATCGAACGATCATCAAGACATACAAGGAAAGCCTGTTTATTCGAAGTGCCTTCTTGGATGGGTTGCATACATATTGAAGTTCATAAAATGCTGATTCTGAATCTGCTTTCCGAATCTGCAAAACGTTTAGGACGAGGAGTTATGAGCGCTTATTGGAGCAAAAAATTGAAAGTGCAAGTAGAACAAAAAAGCCGTAATACTTTTTCTAGCTCTTCAATGAAGCAGGGGTAATCATTAGAGCACTTTGTTTCAAAAATATTAATATGTAAAAGAATTTAGCACACTATTTGAAGGTTAGTAAGAATTTAGCAACACATATTATACAAAATCCACATCCAATTCTTGGCTCCAAAAACGCTAATAACTCCTTGTCGACCAACGTCCTGCAGATAAGGAAGGCAGGTTTGATATAAGCGTATTATGCCCTTCAATATGGCATACATCTCATTTATAAAGGCCACTTCGACCAAACAAACTTCCCTTGTTAGAATGAAAACATCACTGTCAGAAAGAGAAGGAATTCTACACTGAACAACGCCTATAGCGTTTGTCTTTTCATTAAATTTTAGCGTGCGTATGAAAACAGCACGATCGCTCGATATAATATGTATAACCGAATTAGCTGATAGACAACAAATGTGGCCTTTTGCTCACAAATAATTTATCTTGCGTATTTGAATAAATGGCGGACAAATTTTAACTTCGCTTGTGCATTGCTCTATCTGCAAAGAAATGATCGCTTACCTCTTCCTTCTCCCTTTCATTCTGTGTATTTTGTACCTCGGAAGCACTGCTCCTGACTTTCGGATCCCCTTTCCTTGATAGATGAAATTTCACATATTAAGACAAACACTTACATGCTCACCCTGCAAATGTTCCTACAATTTCTTTCAGTGCTTGCAATGGTGCATGCAGTGAATGTTTCTTTCTTTCCTATAAGTGATTAGATGTTTTTTTTGATGCGCTTCAAATTGACGAAGCGAAGACGTGGTGTGCGACAAAATATTCGTTTTTGAATCGAAATTCGCATTATGAGGAAATTTCGTTCGAGAATGTAGATGAGCACAGGTGGTTTAGGTCAAGGCCCGGCAAGAGGTTGCGTTTGAACATCGTGAAAACGAAGTCCCCTTTAAGTTTGCTGCAATTTACGAATAACGCCTTGTGTTTTTCGTAGAAATAGGGTTTATAATGTGCAGCGAACTGTGAGTTGATAAAAATGGAGAAAAAAACAAGAAAGTCAAATATAAAATGAGAAGGCGAGAAAAAGAAGGTTTTCATATAGTAGGTCATAGCAAAGCAGAGGGGATGAAACTGAGGTCAAGACGAGCGCATCCAGGAGAACATGAACTAAAGAAGTGACTTGTGTGAAAATATTCAAATTCTGTGCCAGGAAATCATAAATCATGACTTTATTTAGTCCCGCGCATCCTTATGGCGCTTCCAGGTTGCGCGGGAGCAACCTAAATTAAAAATCACTTACAACCCCTTTTTCACATAATTTTTTTCATAATTTTTCATACTTTTGTTTCCATCATCGTCGCAAAGCTATATACCAAATCTGATGGCTCAGTACTGAATAGTCTTGATAAAGATACTGAGTTTTTATTTGTGCAAAAAAATCATGGCCCGTAGTGAACCCCTCTTCAGAGGATCTGCCCTGAAACGGGCCTGAGTTGTTCGTGGGGCGCCTCAGTCCAGCATCCGGCGAGCCATTGATCTAAATGCGGATCGCTTTTCAGGTATAAAAATCTTGCGCGTTATCAAAGAAGAAACACCTACATCGCTTGTGCGGGTTTGGTCAAACGGGTATGTGACTGACAATCAGCCTGCACGACAGTGGTTCGGCGCCAGGGCCCGGCACGAGTCGGTTTCTAAGGTTTCTGAAAACGAAGTCTCCCCTGACTTTCGAAAGTTTTACGAAGTCCCCTTTGACCTTCCTACTTAGGAGAAGATACGAACAAGAAAGATTTACGAGTCTGAAAGAAAAAATGTGAGATAGGAGTGAAAATCTAAATTAGAGCTGAAGACTACGCATGCGCAAGAGTTTGGCATTGGAGCGCGATATTTAACAATGCGATTTATGGAGAAATTAAGGCAAAAAAAACAAAGGAAAGGCAATGATATGAAAATGTCTCCATGCTTAGGGATAGATTTTTGACTGGAGAATCCGTCCATGCTAAAAAGATCCGAAACTTATCTGAACTGACGAAAATATATGCTCCAGACGATCTCAGATCGTCTGGTGGCCATCTGGAGACGATCTAATTTTGGAAAGATATTACCTCACAGTTTTCAAATCTTTTTACATAATCCTTCCGCAAATAATTTTCTATACATACAGTTCAATTTTGGTGTCATACGCTTCTGTGTGCGCTATAAACAAGCAAATTGTTTATTTTAGCCTTGCTTTCAAATCGCGCGCACTTTTCGCCGTACACGATAGAGCATGTCATTCGTGTGCTAACCTGTTGGAAAAGCTTGTGTTCGACTAAACGGCGCTTCTTATTCTTGATGCTCGGTCCCGACTCGTCAAAAACGATATCTCCTTTGCTTTTTGCTCCACAAACGAAGTCCAGCCTGTTTCCAGACGATCTATAGCGGCCACTATCGAAGAAAATCGATGACGGCGGCTATCAAGGAATCCACAAAGCAAAAGAATGCAAAAAAAACAAAACTGCGTTTTTCAACAAAGATTTCATCAACAATTGAGGAAGTAGGGACAAAATCGAATGGAAATAAGTAAAGAGATTTTCGCTCTAAGTAGCCTGTAGTAGTAGTTTTGTAGAAATAACCTAACAAACTCTGCAAAAAGGAAAAAGCCTATTTTCTTGTTTTCTTGCCGAAATCAGCTGTTCATTGATCCTTTCCTTTTTGGGCACTGGTATTGTGCAGTTTTGCGCGTTCTTGTACTCAACAATGCGCCAGATAAGATGTGCTGTAAGTTACTTACGACCAACTTACGGGATTTTTCTTTGCGTCTCAGTCCTTGCACACTATTTCGGTCAATTCATCTCAAAATCGACGCTGCTCTTACGGATTTCAGGTGAATTCATCGCGGCACCTGGCCTGACGCTCACCCGTCAGATCAGGTCGCATTCTTAAGCATGTGGGAGTGGCCGCTGGTCAGTTTATCTTAAATACCTCAACTCAGCCCCTCAGTTAAGATCATCTGTAGTAAAGTGGGGTTTACTGCGGGCCCATGTCTTAACAAGTTGGCCTCGTGCGCAAAAAAAGTTCTTGCAATTGTGTTTGTAACCTGTTAATCTACCTGTTACTGGTAAAGACGTTACAGCCTAAAATTAGAATTAGGTAAGGATTGTGCTGGCCAATATTTCGTCAGACAAGGGAAACCCCTGAAAACATTACGATTTTCCTCTTGCTTTCCCCTCAAAAAACGATATCCAGCTGTGAAAGCGCCACCTCTGCTGAGCCCTGGTTTAGGCTTCCGCCAGAGTGCCGAAGCCACGCTAGCGCTGCGCCGGAGCCGGGCTGTCGCGGCGCTGTTTCGACGGATACACGTGCATTTCGTTCGCGGTGGGGCTAGCTGACCTGGTTCTCGGCCAGGTAAATGCACCGACTATTGATCGAATCTCTTTCAAAAGCTCCGGAGCCCTTGCCGCCATGGGGTCAGCTAGCTCCGCCCAAAACGAAATGCACGTGTATCGATCACAACGCCGGGCCAGCTCGACTCGGCACCGACGCAGCGCTGATGTGGCTTCGGCACTTTGGCGAGAGCCTCAGGAGGACTATTTTTGAACAAGATGCTTCTGTGTCCTGCCGTTTACTAGATTCATGCTCCAAATAATAAATTTTTTCCAAAATCAACGTTAGGAATTAGTTTCAGGATCAGTTAGGTTCCAGGATTCCAGGGTTATCCCGCGCCGAATGAAGCTGGGCATGTTTACCGGATTCTCTTTGCTGCATTCATTGAAGTTAGTTTCATTCACTTTAAACGAAAATGTATAGGAACATGAAAGTGAAACAAGAGTCAAGCATTCGACGAACAAACAATTTGTTAAGCAATTTTTTGCTAAGAATGTTATTGTAGAAAGTACAGCTAAACTTCTTTTTATCGGCGATTCTTGGCTAATGACAGTGAAAGCAAGACCGAAAAAGATTAAACATTCTCTCAGTGCTCGTATTTTCTCCCCCTCCGGGAATATGCGATGACGTAGTGGTCGAAGCACGTCAGTTTCCCAAAGCTATATTCAGTGTTCAGCTTGTCAGTATTTCCGATGAGCAATGAAGTTGTTTATACTCGCTTACTTAGAAAAGTGGCTGACACACTTCAACAAGGGTGGTCGCCTTTTACATGGTTTTCTCATTCTTTGATTATTGCTAACCAGTGTGTCACCTCTGCCGCACTGGTCTTACTATCTATATACTTACCTCACAGGCATAATGATGGCTTTGAAACTCACCCCGGTATGCTGGCCATCATGGATGAATTGTAAACAACTACTCATTCCAAAAGCTTTTCACATTCATTATCGGGGTTTTGAGGAAAAAAGCCTCAGTACCGTAGAATATATGATACAGTCGAGTAAATTTTCGGCTTAATGTAGTTGCTTGCACAGTTTATGAAATGCGATAAAATTTGCGCGTGAGGAAATAGCTTCGACTTTCACGCCGGCCATTTGCGCGCGCAAAATGTCGGCAGTGGTGGCGCACTACCTGTTCACGCGCAAATCTTACCGCATTTCATAAACTGTGCAAGCACACTATATTAAGCGGAAAATCTTCTCGACTGTAATTTGAATTGCTTACCAAATAGATTATGGCTTGCTAATGGCTATAATGACAATGGCCATCTCAAGCTACATCTTTGAACAGAAATCTTTTTGAAATTTTGAATAAACCCTTCACAATCGGCTGTCTGGGCAACCTTTTTTTTTGTGGCGCCGTTCTCGCAGAGAACATAATTTTTGATAATTTTTTACGTTAAAGTTATTGTCTTGAAGATACAAACGTCAAGCAAATCTACAACCTTGCAAAAAAGTCTGGATACACTCCTGCATGTGCTGTAGGCTAAAAGCCGCAGGGATTTACTTGGCGCATACTTTCTGAAGGTTCCGCTTATTAAATTGGCTTGCGATTTTGCATATTGGACCTACATGCGGATATAATGTAGTGACCAAAATTCTAGCTTAAAGGCAGCGTCACCCAGAATTTGGTCCCCCATGTTTTCGTCATTCTGGGACCTTTCCGTGGCCCTGATTACAGTTCCGAACTTCAAACTCTCTAAAATTCACAAAAAACCCGATTCTTGGGGACCCACTCTTGAGGGCGCGGACGAGTTTCGAATTGCTCGTCCCCGTCGGCAGGCCAGCGGGAGGAGCTGCAACTGCATGGGTGCAGTTGCATAGCAGTGTGCAGTGTGCAGCTTCTGCTCACTACCTTGTCAATACGTGTCGGGAGGCACGTATTGACAAGGTAGTGAGCAGTCTCTGGTGGGCGGAGTCTGATATCAGACTCCGCCCAGCCAGGGACTTTCAGACCCCTTATCTCCATTCAGAGGCAACGTTAGAAGACCGGACCAACGCAGATGCCCCTTTTCTGGGGCCTACATTCAGGACCGACACTAATCGGAGGGGGCTAGGTTTAGCCTGGACACTGCCTTTAAGGCGCCCGCCTGCACACATACACACACACACACACACATAAACACATACACACATACACACATACACACATACACACATACACACATACACACATACACACATACACACATACACACATACACACATACACACATACACACATACACACATACACACATACACACATACACACATACACACATACACGCATACACACATACACACATACACACATACATACATACACACATACACACATACACACATACACACATACACACATACACACATACACACATACACACATACACACATACACACATACACACA